ATTTCACTGTCCACTCTGTTCAAATGTGGATGAATGGTTACACATAGATGTGTGCACTGTACACACACTGTCAGAGCTGTGTGAGATCACTACCATCCTGCTTTTGTGGGGGTGGGTAGGGGTGTTAATTTTTTCCCCCATAGGTTTTTAACATTCTAAAAGCTCTTTATTCCAAAGATACTACAAGCTAGTCAGTGTATTCAGTAGGTGTAATGTATTGCAAGTTGCTTCAAAGGTATTGCAAGTACTAGTATGTACAACAATAAAACAGTGCATTGACATAAAAAAGGAAATGTACTTTTGGTACTTAAGTACTTCTAAAAGCAAGTACTTCTGTACTTTTACTGAAGTAAAAATCTGTCTTTACAACTTTCCCTTGTAATGGAGTAATATTTGACCAGCAGTATCTGTACTTTCACTCAAGTAATGGAGTTGAGTACTTTGTCCGCCTCTGGTCAGCGTACAGTAAACAAAGTTATTCCTGACCGTGAAGAACTGCTCAGTCAAACAGGATGCATGTCTGTGCTTTGTTTTTCATTTTCACCGTCGTAAACGAGCGCTTTACGGGGAAATAGACGCATAGTGGTGGGCTGGGTTTATGTCTCTATGTTATCGTCATTTATGTGAATGCAAACCCTTTATTTTCATGTGAAACCCTGCGAGTAATAAGCGCAAGTCTGTTCCTGCTCCTCCGCTGTTGCTACAGAATGACATAAACGTGTCGCTATGAGTTTGCTTTATCCACCTTTTTCTTGTCGTAAACATGGGCGCGGCCATTTGGAAAATATATGGGTATGGCTTCCGGTTTCATCTGCGTCCACTCCGTCCAGCTATTTTTAGCTGAGCAAAACAGTTCGTTTTGCTGCTTGATATTGAAAGTTGGTGTGTCTTATATTATTTTAATGTATTATCTGAAATTATGAACACACTGGTTTGTAGTGCAAACAGTTTTACCGTTTACTGCACGTTGTTATTCTCCTCGTTATTTACCTATAGCGGCTAATGAACCGGAAGTCTCACCCATAGGCTTACTTCCTCGTTGAAGAAAAAGGTGGATACCGAGAGAAAGATGATGGAACAGGAAGTAGCCTAAAACAACGTCTGGATGGGATGGCTAGCGGGTAAGCTAGCAACATAGTTACCGATTCACACAGAGAAGAAAACAAAGCTTGCGTCAAAGCAACCGCACGAACTGTGACTGGTGACAGGCGAGGTTTACTGCAGCTCAAAACAAAGCTAATAATTGCTGCATGCGTCGGATGAATCCGACACATTGAGCGCTTGTTAAAAGACCTACAACGCAGAAATATAAAGAATAAGCTGATGGCGGGGAAAAACAGTTCCACTCGTTCCAGCAAAAGAACTAGTTAATATGTCATATTGCATCATATTGCACTGGCCTGGGATCAAAGCATGTAACGATATCTTCAAGGTAATGCGTACTATACAAGTAGAACGGATTTTATTAGATAACGTGTTTACCATGTTGAGAAGCGAAATATAATAAACAAAAGGCACATTTTGCAGGCGAGCGCACGGTGGCTTGTCCCCTTCCCCTCGCGACCACCATCTCGTTATATCTGACGCATTACTGACCGTTCAGTCGGATGCTGAATTGTCGTCTTTTCTTGTCGTGCTCCACTCGGAGAGGAGTGTTGATGTCCAGGACGACGTTCATCTGTGCAGCCTGGGCCATAACGCCTGTGGGTCTGCTGTGTGTCAGTGAGCCACGGCTGATCCAGCGGCGATGAGAGGCGCATTCATGCCTCGCCGAGGTGAAGACGAGCATCCGATCCTGAGAAAACATGCCATCCGCGGAAATCAGCTGTGAAGTCACGTGCTCGCCGCCGGCCAATCAGGACAGGCGCGTTGTTTTGACACGCGCGGTCTCTTTAAAAAGAGCTAGATGCGGCCGCCAGGTGGAGACACATGTTTGCTGTTCAGTTTTTCTTTATTAGCGATATTTTATAAGGCATGTTGGGAACTTATTATATAATCGAGTACAATATATTACAAAGGTATTTTAGAAAAAAAAAATAGAAGGTTGTTTTCTATATTCTTGTGTACTGCCTAACCAAAATCAAAATATGGTGATGTATTTAGTTAGATCATTTCTTTTTAGCTGTACTTTATCCTTAAACAGGCCTAATGTAAGAGTGATATAAATGCTAATTTAAAATGAAATAATCAATTAGTTGAATCTCTCTCTCTATGATTTTGTGATGATGTTACAGTTAAAGTTTTGCATCAAAACTCAGTTAGAGGACAAAAGATCTCAAGGATCTCAAGTTTTGTCTCTCTCTCTCTCTCTCTCTCTCTTCAGTGGCGAAACATACATTATAGCAGTTAACGCTTTTATTTCAGTCCTGAATCCAACTGTGCAAAGATGAATGCCCTTTTTGTACTGACAGAGAGACCGTTTTTCACGGTTTCATGCGTTGTGAGAGATTGAGATCTGTTTACAATGATTGTGTTTATTGTTGGATTTAAGTATTGTAAAAACAAAAAGAGGAAAGGACGCTTGTTAAACTTCATTTTAGAACAAGCAAAAATGGCGATATATATTAGTAGAAGGTACAAAATCCTCTATGATACAAACTGTCAAGTTGAACTGCTTTTTAAAGGGCCTATAAAAGCAAGGGTAAGGAATGGTTTTGTTTTGTTTTTATCTATGAAGGAGTTGGATAAGTTTGAAGACATTTGAAGTGCAGAAAATTAGTTGTGAGTAAATGGCTTTATATCCATGCTGGTGAGGTCCAGAGATCTCAGATCCATAATCTCAATTCCAAAGTTCACAGACTTTGCATAAGAGAAAGGAACAAACACAAAACCAAACACAAATTCTTCTAATCACAGGTTAAAAACTACAGCACATCCTGCCAACAGAGGATGGCTTCAAGTTTACTAATAAAAACTATAGCATACAATACGCACAGTATTTCAACGGCAAATACTAACCATTTGAAGTTATTTCTCATTAGTAAGATGATCATTTTAGTGAATCACTTTAGCATTTTCACATAAATAATCACCTATAGCACCTCTCAGATTTGCATCTTTAAAACTACAAAAAGAACAATATTTGAATTTATGTGTGAATGACAGTACAATACAGAAATTGGTCTTAAGCATGATAATAATAATAATAATATAAATAAAAAGAAAACTATGAAATTATACATTTGTGTTAAGAGCATTACATGATTCATTTATTTGGAAATGTTGCCATTTTAAAAACTGATATCAGGTTGTGGGACGTATTGTGTCTCATGTCAACCAATATCAGTAAGTCGATTCACAGAAGGAGTTTTTAACTTTTAGACTTGTTTATCTATATTTATGATGATGCAACTCGCCTCTTTTCACCTTAAGCTCGCCTCTGCGTAGTGTCAACCTATAACAGAAGAATACAGAGAAATATGACTTTACATTTACCAAACTATAGCCTACTCACAAATGTTTCCATTAAGCGAGAACAGTCTCGTTAGCAGTGAGCGTTCACAAAATCTGCTGTTAAACGATATAGCCGACTGTAACAGAAGTTAGACGACAGCGTGATTATTTTTTGTCTCGCTCTAATGGCTTGTAATCAAAAGCAGTTACGCGGCATATTTCTGTGACCTTGGTTTCACTTTACATGCATTAGAGAACAGATGATGCAACAGAAGCACCTGGTTTTTCGTGCATTTCGATACTCGGCTCAAGGTAAAGTTTTAAAGTTAAGCAGAATAATTAAATAGCAAATTAATTTCAAATTTGACAAAAAGTATGTAATGTATAAGGTAATGACACCAGAAAACCCACAGCATATAAACAGCCAACAAGGACAGGGCTTGGAATAGCCTAATTGTCAGGTAAAACAGCAGAATACCTTGAGCAGGACGTCCAGTTTAGAGGTTCATCACTACTGATCGCTGCCTCCTGCTCCTGCCTGGCTTCTCAAAAGTGCTGGAGATTTACGGTCCGACCCTGTCTTATGGAGCCACAGTGACACGCATCGGATGGGCCCCGCCTCTCATCCGTCACTGCATCCACTGACAACCTCAGCAACGCGCTACTGTACAGATCATCTACAGCTAGAGCTTTTACAGATAAAATACCATACTAATCTAATAAAGGTAAACAAATTGGTCAAAACTGCACTGAAATGTTGCAATGTAGCCTATTTATTTGTACATATTTATTGTACATTCTGTAGGCTACTTCCATAAGAGCGTGAGAATGAGATGAGGGGTTTTTCAAATGTTTTTGCTTTATGTACATATGCACTTTGTTGCATTAGTATATTTACACGTCACTCGCATTAATAAAAATATAGCCTACAAAAGCACATAAAAAAATTTACGGCAACAATGTGCTGCTATAGCGCAGTAGGCTATTGGATGGTTCATCATACACACAAATAAATAAATAAATGCACATTCTGTTATTTATGACTAAACTATAACTGAGAATTTTAAATGGTTTTTAATGGGGGTATAATTTAATCCAAGGTGAGTGCAGTTTGTATTCAGAATCACTACCGTGTTTAGTCTTGTAAGAACATTCCGTACGTTATAGTTTCTTCTGTAGAGAAATGCTAATGACAGCCTGTTAAAAAAGGCTATTTTGGGAGGAGTGGAAAAGGGAGCTGGTTTGTCATTATCACCATCCCTAAACAGGAAAGTCTTGATAGCCTACTTGATGGAATTCATGTTAGCCTATCTAGAATACTCTACATTCAAATGAACTCTTCTGCAGGTCTATTGGGCAGAGGATACAAAATGAGACTACTGATTTATTCCGAGAGCATAAGGGCATCTGTTAATCAGTTGTAACTCTATACAGATAACGATATCAAATCTGTGACAATGTGAAGAAAAACACTGAATGCAAGTGTCCTTTGTTTCATTTTCATCACCAGAGTTCAATGAGTTCAGGACACTCACTGATGTATTATTTCTGCATTCAACACACACACAAGAGTGTATTATTTTTATTTCAAGCTAACCTTTTTATATTAAAAATATTTAATTGTTTCACATTTAAAAGTGCTTGCCTAATTTTTTTTTCTTTTTCAAATCAGTGCAAGACTAAAACAAAAGGCACTTGCATATAACTTTATCTAATCTTTACAAAACAAGGTCAAAGGTATAAAGAGATTGAGGTCATACTCACAAAACAGGCCCTCTCTAGTCATTAAAAATGCCCCACTTTCCATACTGCTTTTAGTCTCCCCCAAACACAATTACAATGCACACATACACAAATTCAGACAAGCGAGTTGTGCTTGTGGCTAATTCAATTTTACTTCTTTAAAGTTAGCAGAAAGTGTTAAATGAACAATATAAAAAAGGACCAACATTAATGCAAGTCCATCATGGTGTCTCAAAAACAGGAAAACAATACAAAACAGATCTCAACGAAGGTCAGATGTTTCTGTACCAGACACAACGCTTAAAATTATACACTGCTGAAGTCGAGAGGGTAGAGAAGTTGAAAGACTAGCTGAGAAGAGATTTGAGTAAAAACACCTCACAAGAATAAACATTATTATGGTCTGCTTATTTTTCTTATCTAGCAAGGTTTTATTAGAAAGTGCATTCCATCAGCTGATGGAGAATGGAGAGAATCAGACAAGTAGCCCAAAACACACGGCGTAAAAAAAAAAGAAAAAAAAAAAGCATATGATTGACAGCCACCTGAACCAATAAGAGTACTTCTCAGGTGAGGAGGGCGGGGCATGAAGGCAAAACACAACTTCATACGGGACAAACTACAGTTCTCTGACGTATAACAAAGAATCCCGACCAAATCCCCTTGCAATTCTCCCCATTTTCCAACAGCCAGCCATCTTTCACATGTCAGACACATGATAAACAATTCTTTGTCAGTTGCGCAAACCTCTTACTTGGGAGTAAAGTGCAGAGGACAGATGCCTTTGTCTAATGAGAGTGAACAAAAATAATTCACAATCAATCAATCAATCAGCCGAGTCTGATTGACTCAAGACTTTCAATCACTTTATCTGTGCTGCTCCTAATGTCACTATTTAACACTCACTCACACACTCATCATCTGCATGATGAAGAATCAGGAAAAGACAGAGCAACTAAAAAGCAGCTTCTGATACCAGCACCACAGTCATAAGATCAGTCAAAGACACACACACACACACACACACACACACACAAAGCTACACGGGCAGCAGGACTTAAACATGTGGTGTCTAATGTTATTACAGAGAACATCTGGGAGTGTTTAACCACAAGAGTTTAAATGTGTCCGCTACAAGGTTAGACTTGAAGAACCAGCTGGAGGATATGGGAAAACATCAGAAAGACTCTAAAATGGAACATAGAGAACAACTAATACGCTACAATAACAAATCTTCAATAAACCCAATTGAATTAAGAGAAACAAGGGCAACTATTCTTCAAGTCTATAAAGTCTTTAGAATAGTTGAAAGGAACAGTTCACCCAAATTTGTTTTTCATCATTTACTCACCCTCATGTCATTCCAAACCTGTATAAGTTTCTTTCTTATGTTAAACACAAAAGAAGATATTTTGAAGAATTTTGAAGAACTAAAAAGTTGTTGGTCCCCATTGACTTCAGAAGGAAAAGAAATACTATGGAAGTCAATGGGAACCATCAACTGTTTGATTACCAGCAATCTTCAAAATATCTTTTACGTTCAACATAAGAAAGAAACACAAACAGGTTTGGAACAACATGAGGACAATGATGGGCAATTGTGATGAGAAAATTTTTTTTTTAGGGTGAACTATCCCTTCAAGTCTTTTCAACAACACTAAATAAACAAATTAACCTTTTTTAACAGAACTGTTCTACTCTTGTAGTATAAACTTTTTTTTAGCATTAAACATACATCATAAAATATTTTACAACTGCTTTTAATTTATATGTTTTTGGCATACAAAAACCATACTATAACCATATTTTAATTTAGTAAAAACTAAATGGGTTTATGATGTTATATTAAACAAATAATGCTCCAATACATTTCCAACATGTTTGTGCTGGTCTGGTGAAAGTTTAAAAAGTTTAAAATGTTAGTATTTTTCTCACACACTTATTTGACTTCAGAAGACAGATTCATCAACTGGGGTCATATGGATTACCACTATGTTAGTTTTGTGTAATTTAACTTAAAAACTTTAACCCACTTTTGACCCATACACTTGCATTATATGGACTTGTAGAGATGGCTTATATTTCTAAATACCTCAGTTTGTGTTGCACAGAATAAAGTAAGATTGTTGTGAAATGTTCTGCTTGAAAAGTGTGCTTGTTGCAAATTTCATTTGAATTATCTAAAGCAACAGCATTTAGATATTTAAGTGTGTCTAAATGTTTTTTGGGGCCACTGTAAATTCGAAAAATTATTATTAATGGTAAAAATCCCAAATGTGTGTGAAAGATTAAAAAAAAAACAGACAATCTATTCATTCACCACTGGGGTCAACTCACCTGTGTGTGTCTTCATGTGCTCGTCGAAATACTGTTTCATGTTGAAGTCTTTGCCACACCACTGGCACATAAACTGCTTGTGTCCTATATGGATGCTCATATGAGACCGCAGCTGGTATTTGTACTGGAACCTCTCGTCGCAGTTCTGCACACACACACACACAAACAGAAATAGACAGCGTGTGGGTGGATGCTGTTTCAGCCTCACTTCAAATCAGGGCCAGATTGAAGCAATCCCAACTTTGTAATGCGAACATAATAACCTGTCATTACGGTTCATAAGCCTGTCATTGACATACTATTTATAGGAATCAGGCCAATCCCACTCATTCAGACTCTCTCACACTGCACCCTTAAGTGAAGCCAGTGAGCCCCACCCTGACCACCCTTACAGAGCGTTAACCCCCGATGCATTTCTAAGGAAAAGACGCCTCAACGAACAGCTGAGGGAAAAACCAAAAGACAATATTAGAGATGCAAAATTAATCTACACCGTGCGAACTGACTCCGACACTGGTCTTAACAGTGATGACGAGACAAGTTTCCACTGACAAGCAGTTCGTCCATCCACACTAGAGCTGCTTTTTTCACTTAAATATTTGCAAACATTTTATTACATTTGAATTCTAATAATTTCAGTCAGAAGGAAAAGATCAGTGAACACAAGATTTCTATACCAACAGTCCACAAGAGGGCGCCATAAATAGAAATTAAAGGGGTCATATCCTCCTGACTACCAGCTATGGAGTTTTGTCTTTTGTAGAGGACATAATGTTTTAGTGATTTCTCTGAGACATTACATGTCACAGTTTTATCTGGATGTCCTGTACAGAGCACATTCAGGGCTTTTCAGAGATACCAAATGATTGGATGTTTCACCATGACCACTCCCTCTCCTTGGTCTTTAAAAATGGCTGACATTCATTTAGTGATCAAATGTAACACCCTAATGGAAATATGATATTTTGTAATTATTTAAATCTGACTAATTTTCTAATTGTTTGCCATAAATCAACATCTCAGGAAAATGATATGGGGTTTAAAATCAAAATATGACCTTCTATTATAAAACAAGATGTCGATTTCATACATGTCCACTGTAGAGGACACCAGGACTTAAAGCACGTTTATTACACATTTTGGGAGACACAACAAATGAATAGAGAAAAAAATATGTATCAATATTCCTATTAAATATTAGATATTATTATGAAAATCTTGCTAATTATTACTCCCATGATTGCACTTATTTGTTCACTTTATGTTGCCCCAAAAACACATTAATATGCAAATTAGTTTATAGTTTCAGTTTATAGATACATTGTATATAATGGAAAAACTTGTTTATGGCCATTTTACACACATTTTGCATAAAGAAAAATGTTTTTTAAAAATATCTTTCATAATATAGTTAAGAATCGTCTTTATATAAAGTTTGGTATAAAAAATTAAAATTAATTTGTGATTAAAACAAAAATCCCACTCTTTTTGCCTTTTCATGTCAATTCATGTCTTTATTTTTTCTTAAAAAACAGGACTTTTTAAAGTCCCGATGTCCTCTACAGAAGACATGGCATAACATATGAATAAAATATAATTTTTCAA